CCTCAAAAACTCGGCCTAATGTGGACCGAAGGGTGGCCGAGTTTGTGAAAATGCCGGGTTATCGGGAATGGGGTTAAAAAAAATAAGTATGAGTGTTTCCTCAGAAAATACTGTACTGTACTTGTATGTATTGTTTACTTGAGAATACAACAGAGAATAAACTGCCCAAATACCCTAAAACAAAGGAAAAGTATGTCCTTTATGAAGGCATAGAGCCTTTACTATGTGAGATCCAGCCTGGGGTACAGGGTAGGTTTGTTACGCCTGTATCACTTACTAGGCAGCTAGTCGGTAGGACTAGTTCTCTAAGTTTCCGATCACTAGATCAGATCTTAAAGTTTACATAGGAGGGTTGCAATAATTATTTTTAAGGAGGGATTCAAGACTGTGAGGTCCTTATCCCAAACGTCAGGTTCCCGACACCAGTTAATCAATTGTTTTACACGCGGATTAACACGCATATGAGATCTGATTCGAGTCTAAATTAAGAGACATATCTTATATAAAACAAACAAGAGTAAATTTAATGGTTCAATATAAGTAAAACTAATACAAAATATCAATGAACGAGGGATATGAATACAACAATTAAAATACACGATATAGGCAAGGACTTATACTATAACCGCTTTGCGAACGAGAGAGAGAGCTCACAAAATCATTAGAAACATACAACCTGTGGTAGTTGTTCTCATCTTCTTCTGTATTCGATGTATTTGATGCACTTCTTGAGTATTCTGTATTCAACGAAAATGAGGATGGCTATAACTATCGAAATAATTCCTTGTATGTCGTATGGCTCATAGGCATTGGCCTTTACGAGGAAATATGTATGTGGAGTCTGGACACTACCGAAACTGTCGAAGAACTCCCCGAATTCTGACAAATTGCCTCTATATCTGCTGATTTTCGACCAATCATCGGCCAGTAACTCTTTCATGAGAACGGATGAAGGGGAATGAATGCGTGGGTAAACATTTCCCATCTGAGCGAGAGTTTTCGCAGATAAGGGAAAAACAGAGGATGTACTAACTTCTGTGAAAGGAAGTAACATCTGTTATCTGCCTTTTCCCATGTTAAAACATTATTTTTCTCACAAAATTTGAAGTAATAGTTTGTGACAATATTAAATATTATTAATAAAAATTGTCAAATTAGACCCAGGGGCCTTTTAGGTCTCACAACTACATGAAAATGAAAATTAATGAATACACTGTGTACAGTAATTTACCTGATAAGACAGACCTCAGAAAAACACTTTATGAGGCATAAAGCTGTCTTTATCATGAAAATTAATTAACTAAGGTATTTTTTGCCCTGCCAGGGTTATCCGGAGTGCCGGGTTATCGAGTGCCGAGTTTTTGAGGCTCTACTGTATTACTTGTTATCCTCCCTTGGTACTTCACTAAGATTCTCAATCATTAGTGAAGTACAGAGTATAAAATAATTTTCACTAATTAAATACATTAGTGAAGTACATTAACTCACATAACTGTACATAACTCACATAACTGTAAGTGAAGTACATTAACTCCATAAGTATGAAATTGTGACATATTGTTGAAATATTCAACAGAATTGCTATAATTATTTCCATCACTATCATGTGATATAATCGAAAAATCATTCCAGTAACTCATTACATAAGCCACTAGAGAGGTTGAGGCGCACGTTTCAAACATGTAAACGTGTACGTGTGACGTTCGGCGCCGCTTTCCCGTAAGCCTAAAAGTTTGACGATGGTGTTTGGAATGTCGAGCGTGATTCCACCGACTATCCAAACACCATTGTCAAACTTTTAGGCTTACGGGAAAGCGGCGCC